TTCTTGGTGGTTTTTTATCATTGGCCCGTTGGTGGAGAAGGAGGTAGTGGCTGTCACTCAGTAAGTGAAGTTGCAGGAGGTGTGGGTGTAGTTGTGTCTTATAGGGATTGTTGTCTCCCACTCAATCAGACACAAATTACAATTGAATAACCTTCAAAAAATTTGTCAGTCTTGCAGGTCCTGAGTGTCCTTGTGTTGTTGGAAAGCAGAACATGTTCTTAAGCCCCAGGAATCTGTGAGAATGCTGTCTCTTTAAATATCCAAAATAGTCAAACCGCTTTTTAAACCTTCAAAATGGTGGCACCCTCCAGACCAGCAAAAGTCCACAGCTCAGCCCACCTTTCTCTTCACCTTCTCCTTTTGTTCCCAGCCACTGTGCACAGTCCTCTGTGCAGTCCCTGGCTAGCAGGGTGAATTTTAGGTTAATTCTTAAGTCCTACCACTACTCGGGAATCTCCAAGCTGTCTGTGTCATCAAGATTGCTCATGACCCTTGTCAGACTGCAGCTCCGTATGTCTCCTTTTTTGGTATTTTCACACAAATTCTTCTGCTATTTGGGGTTTAATCCACTTCTATATCCTTCTCTTCAAGGCGCAGGTGTCCAGGATTATCTTCTGTGTTTGTGCTAATTGGTTCCCCTTTTCTTTGTTGAAGAGGGTCTGTGCAGGCTTTCTGCCTAGTCCGCCATCTTGCTGGAACTCCAGGAATTGCCTGTAGTTTTCCTTTTGAGTGATATCTTTGCCTGGTTTTGGTATCAAGGTTATGCTTGCTTCATCAAATTAATTTGGAGGATTCCATCATTTTCTATGTTCTGGAATAGTTTGAGTAGGATTGGTCTTAGTTCTTCTCTGAACATTCAGTAGAATTCTCCAGTGAAACCATCTGGGCCAAGACTTTTTTTTGTTGGCAATTTTTTTATGACCTGTTCAGCTTCTTCTTTTTTTATGGGCCTGTTCAACTTTTCCATGTCAGTCTGTGTTAGTTTAGGTAAGCAGTGTGTTTCTAGCTATATATCCATTTTCTAGGTTCTCAAATTTGTTGGAGTACAGTTCTTTATAGTATCCTAATATCTTTTTCATTTCAGTTGGTTCTGTTGAGATGTCCCCAACTCATTTCTTATTCATGTTATTTGTATTCTCTTCCTCTTTCCTTTCTTTAAATTTGCCAGTGCTTTGTCAATTGTATTAATCTTTTCAAAAAACCAACTTCTAGTCTTATTGATTTTTTTCTGTTTTCTTTCTATTTTCTGTTTCATTGACTTCTGCTCGAATCTTATTATTTCCTTTCTTGTGGTGACTATTGGCTTTTCTTGCTGTTCTTTTTCTAATTGCTGAAGATGTTGGTTTAAGGTGTTGATTTTGGCTCCTTCTTCTTTCTTGATGTGTGCCTATCTTGCTATAAATTGGCCTCTGATTGATTTTGCTGTGTGCAAAAGATTTTGGTATGTTGTGTTTTCATTCTCATTTAATCCAAGGAATTTTTTAATTTCCTTTTTATTTCTTCTATTAGCTAGTCGTTCTTAAGAAAGGTGTGTTCAGTTTCCATGTGTTTGCTCTTTTTCTTTTAATCTTCCTATTCCTGATTTCTAATTTTGTAGCATTGTGATTTGTGAATATGCTTTGCAGTATTTCAATGTTTTTAAATTTATTAAGGCTTGCTTTGTGACCTAACTTGTGGTGTATAATGTGAACATTTTTGAGTGCTTATGTTATAGTTTAGAGTGGCTACATAGTATTCATCAACAGATATGCTTTTCTTTTCCTTATATTAGACTTCAAATAATTTCCAGTTTTCATGAGGTACAAAATTCTACAAATCTTTTAAGATGACTCACAGAAAAAGAAATAGGAATGCCTTTCTCTTGATTCTAGAATGATAAATGTGACACTGGACTATAACCATGTTTGCAAGTTTATTGTAAGCCCCAACATCCAGGCACAATCCTGCCTATCTCGGGGCCAGTTCTGAGGACCACACATTCTCATCAGCAGCCTTAGCCCTACAGTCACAGAGTCAGGAGTCATCCTTCTGTCCATAGATGAACTTAATGATGATGTCCAGAACATGTCCCTCATCAGAGCTGTGTTCACTCTGCAAGCTAGTCCTGAGCACCTCATGTGTAGGCAGGAGGAATTGAAGGTGGATGAGGCTTGACCGCTACCTTGGAGGGCTCCCATGTCCACAGATGGAGAGGAGGAGTGGCCATGGGAGGTGGCAGGAAGGGAATGCTCATGGGAGGCAATAGGAAGATAAAAGGAAGGCTCAGAGCTGAGTTGTGTGGGGTAATGGAGAGGAAGAATGTGAGCCAAAGCCCAGAGCTGTGTGATCACCTCAGTTGGCCTCAAGGGAGTGCCGAGGCCTGAAAAACTAGATGAGGAGGAGACAAGAGATGGCAGAGGATTCAGTGTCTACACTACCTGCTGCCAGGTGACCCCCATGGGTCACTATGGAGGACCTTCCCTTGAGGCCTGAAAGCTGGCTCCAGCCAGAATAGCTCCAAAATCTGGTCCTTCTCCCTACCCTGACTGAGGCTGAAAGGGCCCTAGGAGTGGTGTCATAAGGCCTGCATGTATTACCAGGCCTACAAGCAGAGTGTGAGTCCTGCCTCATCAAAGCACAGTGAGACCCCAGTCCTACAGGCCTCAGAACCACATATGCCCTCAGGGAGCCCTAGGCTGGCTGACTTGCAGAACTATGTAGTGGAAGTTTGCTGAGAGACCTCTGTTTCTGAGCCTCTGCTGAAAACACTGGCTACAGAAAAGGACGAGCAACCCCACGACCAAGCACTGTGGGTTTTGGGTTGCAGTTGTATTGCTGACTGTGGATTGTGGGTCATTTTACACAGGGTGTGAGATATGCACATCCCCATGCACAGCCAGACCTGAGATTTGTTTATTTACTGCAACAATTTCAGGAGATGACACAGAAGGCTGGGTTCATGGGCACTACCTCCCGATGATGTCCTGGCCTGTAGGAGACAAGGGGGAACTGAGGGAGGAGACTTTATTCTCAGTGGCACACAAGGACAATTGCAGGTGTTGTCTGAGCTTTGAGATCAGAGGAAGGTGTGAGCATTCGTGAGTGCTACTTGCATAAAAGTTGAAGTTCCAACATAGCAGAAGCCGTTTGCACCTCATGGCATCCCTACTGTGCTGGGTCTGCATCCCACCTGCACTGATCTCTGCCCCTAGGAAGGCATGATTCCCCCACACCTGCCCATGACTCATCGGTATGACGCAGGTCCTCCAGATCCACTGACAACTGGTGACATCATCCCCATAGTAGGTCTGGTACAAGGCCACGTGAGTATGCTCAGATGGATTTATGACTGTGTCTTCCATTCCAATTCTAAACCCACCAAGAAAATGAGCGAACCCCACAGGAAACTGCAGAGGGCTTCCCTTTAAAAATTGACTGACGGCTTCTGTGCTGGTGTCTTGCAGGTATTTTGATGTAGTTGAAGCATTTCTGTTGGTTTCCTCTGGGAACCCACATAGGTCACTCAAGAGCCTCAAAGCCAGTAGTATCAAAACAAGGAACATATACCATAAAAAAAAAAAAAAAACAGCAGCTGCTTCTTAGCACCAAGCAGGAAGGGAAGCTTTGGGGCCTCCCTTGAGACAACATACAATACAGAGGGATATAAAAGCCCTGGAGGCCGAGAGCTCCTCAGTCACTCACTCACTCACTCACTCACTCACTCACTCACACCCTCCTCTTCCTCTACAACTTCACCTATTCCCACCCCACACCAAGTCATGGCTGCTTCTAACATGTCTGTCTTCTCTAATGACCTAAGCTATGGCAGCCATTTCTGCCTGCCCGGGTCCTGTGAATCTTGCACCGACTCCTCCTGGGAGGTGGACAACTGCCCAGAAAGCTGCTGCGAGCCACCCTGCTGTGCCCCCACCTGCTGCCAGTCCACCTGCTGTGCTGCCACCTGCTGCGCCCCAGCCTCCTGCCAGACCCTCATCTGCACCCCCGTGAGCTGTGTGTCTAGCCCCTGCTGCCAGGCAACCTGTGGGTCCACCTCCTGCCAATCAGTCTGCACTAGCTCCTGTGAGCCTTCCTGCTGCCAGCAGTCTAGCTGCCAGCAGTCTAGCTGCCAGCCTGCATGCTGCACACTCTCCCCCTGCCAGCAGGTCTGCTGTGTGCCTGTCGGCTGCAAGCCCATCTGCTGTACACCTGTCTGCTGCAAGCCCGTGTGCTGCAAGCCCATGTGCTGCAAGCCTGTCTGCTGTACGCCTGTCTGCTGCAAGCCCGTGTGCTGTGTGCCTGTCTGCTGTGGGGCCAGCCCCTGCCCTGCCCCCTCATGCTGCCAGCCCTCTACCTGTACAACCTCCTGCTGTAAACCCTCCTCTTGTGTGTCCCTCATCTGCCAACCTGTGTGCAAGCCTGCCTGCTGTGTGTCCTCCTCCTCCTGCTGTGCCCCTGCCTCCTCTAATGTGTCCCTGCTCTGCTGCCCCTTGTGCAAGCCTGCCTGCTGTGGCTCTTCCTAGGGCCAGAATTCTTGCTGCTGAATGGGCACCAACCCTCCAGAGCCAGTCTGGCTTTCTCCTGACATGTTTGGAACCAGAGCCCAATCTGGGGTCTCTTCTTGCCCCCAGAATCACTCCAACCTCCAACTGGCTGTGCTGAGTGCTTAGGCTCCTAGGTGGATTCCCTCTGCTTCTGTGAATCTTTCAGTGACCTCTTCTCAATCCTGGCTCACTGTTCCACATGAGTGACCTGTCTGCCAGAAAATAAAAGCATTGTTTCTCCCTCTCAGAAGGCCTCCTGTGCATATCTGGAAAAATGGTATGGGGTGGGGCATGGATGCAGCATGGAGACTGGGGCTGTTTTGGGGGACCCTGATCTTCTTAGAGGGGGCATAACTATCTGGCAGGGATGACCAGTTCTACCCCATTGTCAAGGTCAACTTCTTGGGAATTTCAGGGAAGAAACCTTTACACTGACAGGGAGGCATGGAGAGAGTGGGGTGGCCCTGCCTGCAAGGGGATGGGGCTCTGCCTGGAACACTGCTGATCCCTAGACAGAGGGGGTATTTTTGTCAGTGGCTGGAGCTAATAGACCTCAGATGGTCCCCAGTCACAACCCAGAAAAACTGCTTGGTGATGTAATAATGAGAAGACCATATGTCAGAAGGAACAAATACCTTGCATTAGAGGGGCTTCTTAGGCCCTAGTGCCACTCAGATCTTCAGGGTGAAAAATCATGGCTCCCCAAGACATGGGGATCCCAAGCATGTCACTGTCCTGGGCCTGGTTCTCAGGACTTCCTGTCCTTCCCCCAGGCCTGAAACCAAGCTGCCATTCTGTGTGTATGCCTGCATCTACTGGCCCAGTCTTGGGACACCTGATCCATCCTCACTCCTGATCCACCCCACCTCCCTCACCAATTTCTCCTCTCCCTCTGCCCCCCACTCTATTTCCACCCTCCACCCAGCCCAGGCCCCTCTCTCCTGACTTCTCCCATCCCCATTCTGCATCTTCTCTCTCAGCCCAGTCCTCTCTGCACATAGCTCTAACTGAGCTTGGCTGGCCTTTCAGAAGTGGTCAACTGATTAAAACCGACAACATATTTTGATGGGGCATAAAGGCCTTTTCTGTTTGCCCAGACCACCGTCCCATCCTTTGTCTCCTGGGCAGCTCTTCCCCACCAGGCTGTGGTCTCTGCCCTCCTGGATTGCAGGCTATATCATGCTGTAGCCCATGTTGGAGGCCTTTAATGGGTTCTAGTGCCCTACTGTTTCTGGGGGAGAGAGCCACTTATGTGGCCCCGAGGCTGTTTCAACCCATATATATTTTGTTGTCGAAGCTCTGGTGGCACAGTACCTAAGACACTTGACTGCTCACCAGAGGCTGATGGTTCAAACCCACCAGCCACCCCTCAGAAGGAAAGTTGAGCAATGTACTTCCGTAATAATACCACCTCAGAAACCCAAGGAGGGGTTGCTATGAGTCAGATCTGACTAGACGGCAGTGAGTATTTTTATATTTGTTGTTAGCTACCCTGGAGCTGACTCCAGGTGACCTTGTGCACGACAGAGCAAAACATTGCCTAGTCCTTCATCCTGTTCACTATTGCCAGCAAGTTCTCTTTCCTCTGCTTCTGGAATTCTCATGGAATACATGTTAACCTTCACTCTAGCCTATCATGGCTTTGATTTTTTGTCCCTTTGTGTTTCATTTGGCCTAATTTCTTCTGACCATTCAGTTCACCAGTTCTCTCTACTGTTATAGCTAAAGACTTAGTTTATATTCAGCTATTTTATTTTTCACTTCCAGTAGTTCTGTTTGTATCATGTGTTCCAATCGGCTAGGTCACTTTTTAGAGGTTCTTATTCTTTGAATATATTTTAAAGCCAATATTTACTTTCTTGAAGTATTTATGTATAAATGTTTATAGGTATGTGTGACAATTCTAATACTTGGAATTCTCTATGATTTCATTTCATTTGTTTTTTCAATTTCTGCTGATTCTTATTCAGGATGCCTTGCTTCCTTGGGTCCTTAGTTATTTTGGATTAAATAATGGTCTCTGGGAGTCCCTGAGTGGCACAAATGATTAAGTGCTTGGCTACTAACAAAAGGCTGGCAGTGGAGTCCATCCAGAGGTGCCTCAGGAGAAAGACTTGGCAATCTACTTTTTTTTTTTTTTTTTTTT